GCAATAACTCAACAACGCCGTAACCGAATTTCAAAAACCAAACATGAAATGATATCAGAATTTAACGTAGCATCTGAATATGCAATGATATACAGGGCGTTCTATTTTAAAAAATGGAATTTTGGTCTGTAGCACCTACACCAAACACCCTGTATATTTAAAAATTATATCAAAATATAGAACCAGATATTGCCTGTCACATAAAATGTGGGACACCCGGTATATTATGACAAACGTTTCTAGACGTCATCCGTCATTTTGAAAACCAGACTGGAACTGAAACATCTTGGTCAGCCTTACCTGTAGAGCCCCTTGATCTGCAAGATGTCACCCCCTCTGAGAACGCTCTTCAGTATTTCCTTTGAGACCTTGGCTTCTCCGCTGTACATGTACCTGACCAAGACTTTGAGGCTCTTGTAGTCGATTTCGGGAGGCATGACTATCATCAGAGGCAAGGCGGTGGTGACCTTCCTGTGTAGCTTGAGGACACGCGCCAGAAAGAGGCTACTGTAAGACAGAACGTAGCGATGGGCCATTATTTGGTGGCCGTCGGCCGTCACTAGGGCGACGTCAGCGAAGGAGTCGCTATGGAGCGATGCCGATATGCAGGAGTGCATGTAGTTGGTGAAGGAGGTCCATTTCAGCTGGTAGGTCTCGCATATTTCGGCTTGCTGCTTGTCCATGATGTCTGGAAAAAGAGTACATTTGGATGAAAGTTATCAATACTTTGTCCATCTAAAGGGGTCACTAGACGGTCAATAATATTGTCGATGTGATTGGTGTTTCAATGTTGCTTTAATGTTGCTTCAATCATTCTGTTAAACTCATTCAGTGAGAGTATTTCAAAGGAGCGTGACATGTTTTTTTATTAAAATGATTTCGAATACTGATTTGGGCTATCTCGCCTTAACTTTGGCTGTCTGCAAGAAAAGAAGAAAAGACGCTGGTCCAAAGAATGGTACGTACTGAGAAGTTGTTTAACCCACGAACATTTATTAAACTTTCTGCGAGATACGAAACCAGACGACTACTTTCCATAACTCAGGATAGTCACGGTAGAAACTAGTCAGAAGGGTTTCAAAATCTCGTTCACCGACGGACTCGCCTTCCTTGCAACTCGATACATCGGTCACAACTATTGATGAAATTTCCCATTTACACCATCAACCTGTTCGGCCATTAGCGCCAGTCAATGTCCTTCAATCGAATTTCTATCAATTTCCGTCCATCGATTGACAATCACGTCAATCGCCTCATACACGATCATCTGTGTACTTCAATGAGCATCATTGACAATATTCTGTATCTGTAGTATAGGTGGTCCGAGTGCTGTGTAAGTTGTACATCCTCTCGAGGAGTTGTCCTCCTAGGTCATCGTCCATCTTGTCCTTTCCAGGAAGGTGGACAGGTCACTGGGTAGGCCAAGACTCCGGGCACTCGCATAGGACATGCCTGCTAGCCTCATATTCCTGTTCACACATCCTGCATAGAGGTGTGTCCACTAGCCACATATTGTGGAGGTGTTTCCTTAGTTGACAGTGGTCAGTCAGAAATCTTACTGTTGAGCATAGATTTTTCCTGGTCATCGCCAGATATTTTTTCGGCGCCAGCTTCCCAGGGTCGCTGGATCGTATGTGGCTAGCGTAACTCTAGACTTCATGGATCAGTATGACATTAACCGATTACCATGGCCACCGAGATCGCCCGATCTTTCACCAACAGAACTTGTGTGGGATATTCTTGGTCGCAGACTGCTGAATTTCCAACAGTCCCAACAGATTTTGGTAGCACTTAGAAATGAGTTAGAAGTAGGGTGAAAGGAGATACCCCAAACGGATATAGACCACCTTATCAGGACAATGCCCAGACGAATCCATGAGTGTATAAGTCATCGAGGATAGGACAGGTCACTGGGTAGGCCAAGACTCCGGGCACTCGCATAGGACATGCCTGCTAGCCTCATATTCCTGTTCACACATCCTGCATAGAGGTGTGTCCACTAGCCACATATTGTGGAGGTGTTTCCTTAGTTGACAGTGGTCAGTCAGAAATCTTACTGTTGAGCATAGATTTTTCTTGGTCATCGCCAGATATTTTTTCGGCGCCAGCTTCCCAGGGTCGCTAGACTGTATGTGGCTAGCGTAACTCTAGACTTCATGGATCAGTATGACATTAACCGATTACCATGGCCACCGAGATCGCCCGATCTTTCACCAACAGAACTTGTGTGGGATATTCTTGGTCGCAGACTGCTGAATTTCCAACAGTCCCAACAGATTTTGGTAGCACTTAGAAATGAGTTAGAAGTAGGGTGAAAGGAGATACCCCAAAAGGATATAGACCACCTTATCAGGACAATGCCCAGACGAATCCATGAGTGTATAAGGCATCGAGGATCTACAACACATTACTGAACTTCACTGGTTTCACGATCATCCAATTTCTCTGAAAACTTACCCGCTTGTTTGCTATTATCTGTCAAGTATGTAAGTGAGAAATTTCGAAAATATTTTCAGTATAAATGGGTGTTTACCTTTCTTTGTCGCTTAGTATGTTTTGAGATTTATGTATATTCAGTGACACCTTTAGTGCAAATTTAACGTATTCGTATTCGATTCAAAACACTACTTTTTCAGAAAAAAAAATTATGTCAGTTTTCTAGAATCGCAGATCAGTACTAAATTTTCATTTCATGTTTTGAGGTTAGGAAAGCTAGCTTTTAGTCTAGAAGGAACCCAAATTTTCATTCAGTATCAAAAAAAAAATTCAAGCTGATTTTTTCCAACAATTTATTTTCAAAGGCTGCAGATGCGTGTCTTGTCCTTTAACGAAAGTACAAATCTTACTTTCATTTTGACATAAGGGCAGCACTGTGATATTTGGAGCTGCAAAATCTTTGAATTGTAATTCAGCGACTCAAAAACATATAACAGCTTTTTTAAAAAAATGCAATTTGAACTTATGTCTTGTGGTTAGACCTTGGTGTCTAAAAAGTCCTTGAATTTTCATTCAGTTGCCCAAAAACTCTGCTTCACTTTCGAAAAAGTTTAAGTCATCAGGAAACCTAGTTTTGGATATAAAAGATTCTTGAAGTTTCATTCAACCAACCAAAATTTGGTTATACTTTTTGAAAAAGTCACAAAAACTGAACAAAACCTGCACATTTAACGCGTATTTTGAGGTTCGGGACGGTGACTTTGTGGGCTGAAGAGTCCTTGAATTTTTATTCGGCGTCAAAGTGATGCGTCAGTAGTATATCCACCTCGAAAAGTGAAATTTCAATTTAATTTTTGGTGTTCGGAGTTCAATGAACCCCCTACAATCAGAAAAAAATATCACTTACAATGGATACTTGTGGCATAAATAATTATTAGGCCTGGAAAGATTTCCATGACATGCAATTCAAGACCTATGATTTTTAGGAACATTTTATATTTCATATATGCCCAAATTTAAATCTTTAACGTGGATCCTTCGATAATCACAATTTGCAAATCTCTCAACTAACTTCAACCGCTGTTTTCAATGCTTTAAAAAGCAGTTGTCATTTGATGAATTCATTCTCAATTGAGAAAGTCAGTTTTTCACATTTCTGCGTTGGAAACGAATCGAGAACTGTCTACCGCAGTAATAGACGAAACGTCATGCATAAGAACCTGTAGCTCACGGCCAAATAACCCGAAAAATAACTTCGACACAACGTTTTCATAATAATAATGTTTGATTATATTCATGAAGAAAATAAAGACTGAAGACGAGCAAAACACGAAAGATCAACTAAATTGTGAAACTTAATCCTTGTCTCTCAATCTAATTACAATCCAAGATATTGAGACTTTATATTTACATTTTTTTTATTTTCTAGCTGTCAATATCGATCTGTCCTTGCATTATCGAGGATTTACGTGATCGAACAAAAATTTAATACTGATTTTCGTGTAACATTCCACTGCCGCCTCATTCCGAGCAGAAGCAACGTATTTTGTGAACCAATAACTTGATAATCAATACCATTAGATACGGAGAAACAAGCTCCTCCAATTTTTTCAGCGAAAAAATTCCAACAAAGCTGAAGAAAGTCTATTTCCTTTTTATTTTTGAGACGAAAAAGCCCAAACACTTACCCGGTATTTCTTTTTAAAACTTTAGCGCAACACACCAAAACCGTTCACTCTTAACTGGGAATACAGATGCCGTTTGTTATGGCTTTGTCGGACCCTTGAGAAAATCGATAATATCGGTGGTAGAACCACCATTGATTTTCTGCAGCCAATCCTGAACGGCCGTATATACTATCGATCTGACTTCGCTCTAACGGCGCATTTGTCGATTCTGGCGCTTTTTCTACGGGGTGATGTCGAGGATAGGAGTTGAGTATAAGATCTATGTGGAAAGAAGGGATTTGCAAATACTTCATTGTCCGAAGAAAATAAATCTTGTTGACCAAGCTAGTGAATAAATATAAAGTAAAATACATAAATGTCTCATGGATATCAAAATATAAATAAAATATAATTTACACTACAGTATAAAAACACTGAATAAATAAATATAGTTTGAAAAACTAAAATACACGCTTTTAAAGAAGATCGAACTNAAAATGATATCTATTATGTAAAATTGGAAAAGACATAATAAACTTATTGTAAATATTTACGAATGTTGAAAAATTTGAATATTATTGTTGTAAACCATTTCCTTAGATACGGACATCAAGTGATGCTTTTGAAGAATATTTATATTTAGACATAACTGAGATTAACCATTTCTGTACATAATTGTTAAGTAAAGATGTATCTAAATTTATGGGGATCTAAAAATTAATGGGGAAAAAAGGCATTCGTCAAACTTTCCTTGGAACTAATAACTGAGAACTTTTGAATTCGAGTTTACTGTGTGAGTAGTTAGAAGGTTAACGATTCGAATGTTTCATCTGTATGCAGGATACCTTCATAATCATCAGTGAAAAAATGAAGGGCTTCATTATCTCATCAACTCAGATCCATAATTTGGTAGTCTAGACGTTTTTGAACCGGTACATTAACTGAAATAATTTTCAACTGCTTTTTTATTGAAAATTACACCTTATTATTGCCATGTTATCTTAATGAGGTGGTAAAGTGTATTCGAAGATAAAGCGATGTTTTGGTTAGTTGTTCTAAACACAGCTGTGCGTGTGTGTAAAGCCTCTCAGAAAGTAGGTACATATTAATAGACCACCTAAAAACAAAATGTATTTTTGTATTTAGATTTATGGGTACCTCAAAATGTATCCCATTGATTTTCACCTCTCTCAATCTTGGGAACCGAAAAAGTCGCAGGGGGTCAAATCTGGTGAATACGGTGGCTGAGGCATGGTTACGGTGTTGGTTTTGACAAAAAAATTGCGAACAAGAATTAACGAGTGAGTAAGTTCATTGTCGTGTTGCGAAAGCCATCAACTGTTTTTCCACAATACCGGACATTTTATTCGTATTTCTTCTCGCAAGCGGCGCATAACTTCAAGATAATACTCCTCATTGACCATACAACCATGTAGCAAGAACTCCTGATGGACTACAGTGAGCAAATCGTTGACATTTGGTCAAACTTGGCATGCTTCTTTTGGTCTTGGCTCCTGGGATCTTCCATTGGGATGATTTGACTTCAGTTACGGTGTCATAACCATATATATACCCATGATTTTTAGTCAGTTTGGCTTCAGAAGAGGTAAATCAGCCTCTGATGCAGTCAACTCTCTCACAAATTACATAAAAGATGCATTTGACAATAAAAATAAATATATTGGTGTATTCACTGATCTCACTTCGGCGTTTGATTGTTTGATTGTGTGAATCATAAAATCCTCTTAGACAAATTATACTGGTATGGTATTAGAGGGGTGTGCCTAAAGATGATAGAATCATACTTGACTGAGAGATTTCAAGTGGTAGAATGCGGAGAATCTCGTAGT